GCCGAACGGTTCATGTTCAAACTACCTACGAGGAGGCAATGAGCTCAAAACGCTCTAGAATTTTGTGAGATGTGAATTACCGGTGAGTCCCAATAAGGATGAATTAGTTACACGCCGCTTCTTGGTTTTCAACATTGATTGGCTTCACTGGTAAAGCTCAGCTGATAAAATAGGATGACTCAATGATACCCATAAAGCAATGGTCGTTCTGTGATTGAACCAGGCAATTAATCGTGCCTCGTGGGGGCTCTTTCCAGAAGGACATCATTTGGTTTGCCGATTCAGATGGTTTTTGGATAATTTGTTTGAGAGCGCTGCAGCCAAATACAAACCGACCAAACATGGACTGCCGTGTTTCCGATGACCTTAGAAACAGGGTAAATTTCAAACTTGTGCGAATTAAAACCCGTGAACCAAAGTCGTGTCAAGAGTTCTGACTGATGGAACCGCCCTTATGTTTGGATCGAAATTGAGCCTGTCCTTAATTCGCTCCCCCATATTCTACTCAGTCCAATCCACGTGATCCTTCCTCAGCTACCAGGTAGGTACCACCTTCGGAATTCGTAGATCGCAGACCTTTCCCTGGTGAAGATCAGACCACATGAAGTCTAGTTTATCGGTCTTTTTGTGTCCTTTCTTATAAGGATTGTGTAGTTATTAATGCTTGATAAGAAAATCTGTTGTGTCTGCTCCAAGTGCTGCCTCATTTGCGAATCACCGTTGAAGTAGGAGTCTTGAGGTTTCATATCTTCATAGGAACTAACAGGTATCATTTTACCCAGTCTAGTTTTACTGTTATCATTTGCAAGAAAGGCTGTGAGTTTGAAAACCTCAGGTCAAACTAACTAGAGTATTTTTGGTGCGATCTTTTATTTGAATCAGTCATGTACTTTGACTGTCTGTGAGGAGCCACGTGGTATTGCTCAAAGTTTCATGGTCCTAGTGGAACGTTTGACAAGCACCGACCCCATGAAACTTCGGTTGAAAGTGTGGTTAAAAAAGACGGAATTTTTTCAATCTGCAGTGTTTCATCCCATGCCGACACTTTTCACCGGTAGACAATTGCTGCACACCTTTTAACACTGCTGCAGATTTTTCCGCTTATTTCTTGCTCGCATCGAGAGTGAAGCTCGCTTAACATGGGGTATGTAACTCTGCATTATCTCCGGTTCCTGGTTTGAAAATGGCGGCAAAGACCCATTGATGCAACTCACGATCGGAAAGGGACACTTTAAAGGGTTTGGCCAAAAATGATGTAAATTTGGAAGGAGTACATGATTCGGTGGAAAAGACACTTGAACAACGTACGATACTCTCATTAGAAATTATCTTCCATCCCTAACGTCAAGCAGCTTATGTCATACTCGGTCTACATAGCCTGCAAATTCCACCCTGCTTTTAAATGCAAAAGTTTCAGCTCATTCGTGCGTCTGATCTCGGACAGTGGTGGCCACGAAATGGGGTACCTGGAGGACTGTGAGCGTTCTTCGCATACTGCCCAACAATCGTCTTAACAAAGGGGAGCGGGATGTATAATGATGCAAGATGCCATGACAGGACATCAAGCATAGCTGCTACTTCTAACCTGGATTCGTCCCACCTTATAGATACGCAGTCATTGAAAAACGGGTGCTCCGTGTGCGAACCAAAAACGTGGACAGTTTTCTAAAACAAGCACCGATGGGTTGGGAAGATAAATCGGCGAATTCTGCTCTCCTTAAGGCTAAGTGGTTCATTTGTCTGTTTCGATGGACCGTCAACGTGTAGCTTCCTTCTACAAATCACTTACCAGAAGAATCATAGGACGGACGAGCAATGGCAATTTGCGACAACAACGTGAATCAATAGGTGTAAATGAGCTGTGTGCGCCCGTTCTAAATGCCACAGATCAAAAGGCAACTCACAGTCACATCCAGCTGAGCAAGAATTATATCGTTGTGAATGATTTCCTAGTCATGTGCCTGTAAACCATCCATAGGAACACATTACGATTACTTCCACTGGATGTGCACGTTCCTTATATAGTTCTTCCGGCTATCAGCTCATTTTGAAATAATAAACGCCCAAAAAGTGAAAACACAGAAGCAAACTTAACACCCGAATTCCTCTAAATGTCCACTCACAAGAAAAGCAGAATTTGTGGCACTTGTGTTTCAAGTTATCCGTCGAATTTGTGATTCAATAGTCAAAGACAAATTATTCCAAGCCAATGAGTTGTGCTCACCTAGGTACTAATGTTCCTGGTCATTATTTACAAGGCATGCAGGTGAAAATTTGTAGTGTGTATCAAAAATGTGACCACGAATTAGTTCAGTTAGATCTACAAAGTGGCGTACACGGTGCGTAGGAAACAGCATGTTTGTATGGAGTAATAATTTGTCAGTCAAATGACTAACACCTTTTTCTCCAATTTAGACTCAAACTAACTCAATTATGGTCAGTTCAAATAAAACGATCCACCAGCAGTGTCCTGGTGATGTGAAAACTGACCTGCACTGATAGAAAAAGTACAAAAATGAAACAAACTTCATGGCCCGGAGCAGATAGCCATAATGAACGATGGCATATTCCCTCGTTCAACTGTAGAAGCCGTTTACGTCATGTCGCCCTGTGGTTCCCACACTTTGGAATCGTCAGACCCGTCTGACAACGTTTCTCCCTATCTCTGATGGTGATCTTAACCTCCTCTCAGTTTCCGCGAAACCACGGAATAAGGGTGGATTGTGCGACACAAACCTCTGTACAACAGTCACCGCCGATGATCATGACGAAGGCTTACCAGAGAATGTGGCCTACTTTGAATAGCGCCATAGCCCTCTTTCCAATTTAACTAGCATGCTGACATGAAAACACTTTGGTGCAATGATTTTGGAAACAGAAGAGTGGCTCATGTCCGCGTACACCTTTCTTGACTGATTCTTCCACAAACTTGGGAAGTGGGATAACTCAAAAAGATCATGCTATAACACATTGATTTGTGAATTACACACAACTGATAACTCAAAAAGATCATGCTATAAACGGGCTTTAACACATTGATTTGTGAATTACACACAACTTTGAAGTCTTACATGCTTTACGATATCTCCCAATCACCAGTCACCACAGTGAGCAGCTTTCCAAAAGTCGATCAAATTGGGCATAGTGTTCTTGGGAATTTTCCAGTGCAAAATTCAACAGATAGAAGGAGCTATGGCGCTCAGTAAGACCTAGCAGATGGATGAAAATACATCCCATGGATATGGTTTCATTTCAACTCCACTTTCGCTAAAGGCGCTTTAGAATTTACTGGCGTTTTGTAATCACCAAACGTTAAGAAATCCGTTGCCCTTTATAAAGAACATGTCACTAAATCCTTTGCGGGGCCCGATCGTCTTATCAAGACAACTTTTAATTCTTTACTTGACGCGCAGTCCAGGTCGATTACGGTGAAACGTGATTCTCAAAGTTCGGAAATATGACGATGGAGAAACAAGTCCGTGAACATTCTGGCATACCGACTTCCATCAGGAGGAAATTTTGAGCAGCAGCTTTGTCAATTGATTAAGGTGAAATGTAATTCTCAAAGTTCGGAAATACGACGATGGAAAAACAAGTCCGTGAACATTCTGGCTCACCGACTTCCATCATGAGGAAATTTTGAGCAGCAGCTTTGTCAATAAGACAAAATTCACGCACATCACAACTCAAATGGTGTACGAACTACTGAAATCATCAGCAGACCTGACAGCTGCTCAGATGAGAGTAGATTGTATAAGTCGAACAAGTCCCGTAACTAACATTGGATATCAGAAAGAGCAAGTCAGCAAAATGTGTTCTGACCTTGAGATGGGATGAGATAATCAACTTTGGTAATATCGTAAACGGTTCTTCATAACAAATAGTAAATTGAACGAAACGGTTGAAAATGGCTCTAACCAACGCAGTATAAACGTTATTAATGTTAGTGAACTTCATATACGACGTTGTTGCGGGTGTGGAGCCTGAAAACATGCTGAAACGCCTATTTATTAACTGTCGAGAGGAATTCGGTGTTAAAAAAGACTAGCATTTAAGGATTTTCTCAATTGAGTTTGTCACCTTAGTGGTTTTGTTGAAATCAAAGTTTCAGCAAAATCACTTGTGGGCCACAAATAGTCTCCCAAGCACAAATTAATGATTTTGTGTGACCCAAGCATACCGCCTTGGGAATGTCTGGCCTTGCGTTCTGTTTCAGTTGACCTCCATTCTGATTCCCGATGCTTGAAAAATGCTCTACTTCATACGTGTATGTTGTCATTCCATCTGAATTATTAACCTGAGAATTAGTCAATACTCTCCTCCTATTCAACCTCAACACTTTCGGACGAGCCACCTTGAACTCCATTTCTATAACCTCCATCTCATTCGTTGTAACGAGGTTTACCAAAATCCTTTAACAACTTACTCATTATCCATATCTTCGCCTGTCTGGGACGCCCTTGTCGACATGTCTCCAACATTTGTACAACTATAAAATGCTTCCTGTTTATGAGGAATGGTCGATGACCCTGGTGAACGCAGTAGTTCCCGAGCATGCAACTGCATGTCACTTGTCCAATCCTTCCTCATTGGGTATGGACTTGAATTCATCTTGATCTAGATCACTCGAGCATCCAGTTGTAATCACAGAATAATAGTTCCACAATCGATGATGGGAGTATAAGCGGATGCTTTGGACACATTCAGGAACGATTTGACGGCGGTGATAATAATAATAATATTACTTATGATGGTAGTGATGGATAAGCAACGTTTCTCATCACCTGCGTTTGACACAAGTAAACAACGACTTGTCTCCCCACACGTGTGACAGACAGGGACTACGAGATAGAGATGTAACGTCCGCGCAAAAAACCTTAGGGTACTACTTCCCACCTCCACCCCACTGTAGGGAAATTAAGGTCACACGCGTAAGCGGATCACAGTGCATTGCGCTCTTATCAGGCACAAGTCCCTAAGACAGTCAAGTTATCTCTGGGATGGTCGGTCAGCGGAGTGCACGCATGTGCAATAATGTTGGGACTAGAGATCGTGTTTCAAACCGTTTATGTGCGTGCATCAATGTGGGTGTTCGCACGCATAAGTGCGTTCACTCGTGCATAAGCCAGCACCACACGGAACAACATAGACAGGGTTCCATAGAACCTACGGAAAGGGGTCACACCAATCCGATGGTTGTCACGATAACTTGGTAGTTAGATTGTGTGTATGTTTGTGCACGGTACGCGATAAACTGGTGCTAGTCCAGACTAAACATCTCCGCTGAAAGAATAAAATTCCCACAGATCTGTAGAAGTTATCCTTAAAACTACTATTTGTATTTGACTTGAGGATGGAGCCTGAATTTCGAGCTTCATTTTGCAGCCCAAGTGGGCATTCGATCTTTATTAGATATTATTATTTTCGTGCATCCTACGAATCCCGATGGACACCGCAACACAAATATTTTCGGATGGCAGGATGGAACATGTCGGTTACGAGCTGTGGATTCGTAGTCACTTGTGTGAGTAATTTTAACTTGGACAACATAGACTGCCCCAGCCTTCTAGATCGCAGTGTCAAATCACATGACTTAATATAGACTAACCTCTCGAATCAGGACTACTCATTGGAAAGCTTCTTAGATATCTAAGGCTTCAGAATCACGGGTAGGTATTTTGCACTCGAATTTATAAAAGAAGAGGTGCTTCATCCTTACCGGTCCGCTACTCATACCTTGAAAATGAGTGATCCACTCCTCTCCGAAATGTTTCGTCTTCGAGTCTTGGCGATGATATGTGAGATGCAGACTGCTGATGAAGTTAGGGTGACCAAATTTTGATTCTCGGTTTTTCTCCTACGGTCAATACGCCCTGCAGGAGCAGATCAGTAATTGGAAGTTTAAAGTTACCGCATTCTACTAATAAGTACACTCAAAGTGAACTCCACCACTCCAGAGACTTACACTGAATTTGCTCATGAAATCGGTCACACAAGAAGGACGCTGCATAAAACGTACATCACAAACGCACATAGGTTTGTAGTAAATTTTATTTATTAGTTAGCTGGTTACAGAAAAGTTTTGATTGTTTGAGTTAAATGTTGATTAAAATGCCACAAGGCAGTGATTTTTTCTGTCATTTTATAAAAATTGTGCAATGGGTTTACGATGTTACGTCGCCTGACTGGAGATTTCCGACCTGCGGGGTATCGAAAATGAGACCACAGACGATAAGAAATTTTACAAGCAAACAAGCCCATCGGAAACTGACAATAAACCTACCCATTATTCGAGCTTCATTAGTCTTTTCTTTCTTCCATTCAGAAGGCTTATGCCTTTTTTCGGAATTCTGGTTCAGAACTCAGTGTTTTATATAAATTCCCTTTTGGGCTTTGACGTTCTGGAGTAATCCTTCCCGGAAGCGTCACCCTTGGCTATCAAAAACAGCTGTCCGAGTTTTTCCATTGTAAAAAACATGACCGTCGTTATCAGGTGTAAATTGTCACTTAGAATTATCACGTGCGTGGATCGAGAGCATTTTGTACAAAACCATGAATAACGGACAAAATATTGACAGATGTGCATCAAATTCTGTTACCTCATGACTATAAATAACACACCTGGCTATCATACTACCGTGTCGCACTTTACGGGTTGCACATACAAGAATACTTCACCTCCTCCGCAGTCGGAAAGAAATTTCGTTGTCATTCGACCTGAAGCTAAAAAATAGTTATTTTCAAGAATTTATTTGCCCAGTATTCTTTCTCACTTAAGGTGCAGCCATCCCCACTTTCTAAGAAGCATCACCAAGGTTTACTGAAATGAAGTGAATGGTGTCAGTTCTCGAAAGAAGAGGTTAATGGGGGCCAGCTTTCAAGTTCATAGAACAGACATCCTTCAGTGGTGATCATATTTAGTTTTTTCCCTCAACCCCCATCCCATCGATCGAGATGACGAAGGAACGCCGCAAACAGTAGGTGCGATTCGGCATCGATGTCTTTGGTCACCCTAGAAGAATGGAAATTAGCAGTTTTTCCCTCACCCCCATCCCATCGATCGAGATGACGAAGGAACGCCGCAAACAGTAGGTGCGATTCGGCATCGATGTCTTTGGTCACCCTAGAAGAATGGAAATTAGCAGGGGACGTGAAGAGTCTCACCAACAGTATCATCGTCCACTCCAGTCGTACGAGTTCCAAGTTGTGTACCATCCTTCCAGTTACATCTTAATCTGCTTCTCTTGATGCCAGTCTTTGAATTGAAAAACTGAAAATTTTGATCCTTGACATATACTTTCTGCCTATCAGTGGCGGGATTGGTCACACGTTTATTGTCAACTTAGTTTAATCAACACTATTTTCATTTTAGAACAAACTGGAACCAGGCTTCCAGCAACACTTATATTTCAACTGGTTTCTTTAACTAGCTAACCTTTCTATTCTGTTCATATCCAACTTTTGCACACGTGATTCAAATTATTATACATCTTTCACTCTCCGTCTTCGAAAGTCTTTCCGAGTTATGTCACCATAAATCACCTCATGGTAAATATTGATCATACCTACCAATGTGTCTCAGCACAATAAATAAAATTTTCATTTTTACCATTCCCACCGAGTACTTTTTCTATCATCCATATTTTATTCACTTACAGGTAAAGATGAAAACATGTTATCCGGAGGCTTCAGCTGACGCGTTTCACCGTTTCAACGGGTCTCGCGTGACTCTCCCTATTATTCGGCGAATTTCCTATCGCATGACACCACCCTCTATTCCCTACCAAGACCTACTACTTTTTGGGCCGCACAGGAAAGCAGTATTAATAATGATAACTCGATTTTTCTGTCTGCAAATTATGAACAGTCTTCCTAATCTCTGCAGTGTTTTGCTCTGCAAGGTAAAAGTTCAGAGACTGATTACCTAATGAGTTGAGAAACGCTGTTGTAGATCTCCAGTGCCCTAACACACAGGCAACGCTCCTCGCCTAGGGATTCTGGTCCAAGCCTCTACATACCACGCTTCGATTTGTTTTCATTCATGCTAAATGCATGCTATTTTTAAGTACAAACACCTGCATTTCACCGCTATATTCTTGTCGAGGGCTTGCATTTCTGCTGATGGCATGCACGGTTTTCTGAAATTACAGAAACATAGACTCATTTGCTTCTTGAAGAACAAGGCTCTCAGCAAACTTGGAAGTATCCACAATTTTTTGAATCCATCTGAATTTTGCGCACCAGGGTAGTTGTTTTTTCTTATATGACCCAACGCGTTGTCAACACTCGGGGTGGAATCATCATCGCATCTTTGTTAAGCAAAAAGGTATACTGCCTTAGGAGAAGTTCGTTGCGTTGGTAGGTGCATATGCTTTTGTGATGTAAACCGGAAATGACCTTTACCTATCACCTGTTGCATATACAGCGGTTTTGGATGGCTCGTTGAATTGTACTCTGTTTGGCTGTCATCACTGACTCCTGGCTTTTGGTCAGAACTCGAGTGGGGGGGCTCCAAGATGGCTGTTTTCATGTTTCAGGCTGTAATCTAGTTTGGCATGTGCACCAGCTGATTTCGTCCTAGAGTTGCGTGCATCATGACTGTTATTCATCTCCCTTCGCCAAGATTCTCACGTTTTCCACATCTACTTTTTGGTCTTCTTGATCGCCGTGCATGGAGACCAGAAATTTTTTATTGCCTAATTATTTATCCGCACAGATAGTAGTAACGTCGCATAAAGCGTGTCACATTATGTGCGGTCATACCTCACATTGTTTCCCCTACTTTCGTCGATTTCCTTCTTTGGTCTTCAAATCAGTCTTTTTACAGAAGCAGCATGTTTATGGACGTTATTTCGGCTGACTTAGTGCCATGAGTTCAGCCGTGCAACTGGAAGACTTCTGTGTGTGATTATTTGTTCCTTTTGTTGTGCCTTCACTGAGATGTCTTTTTAGCCCTATAAAGAGCCCGTTGTCTTCAACAACTCGCACCGTGTACCTTTCTTGCTTCTTTTCAAATTCTGCGGCACCACACTGTCCCAGCTCTCTTGAATGGAGTTTGTACGCATCAGCTCATTGGATACTGGCCTCAGCAGCATAAGCACTAGTTATTTTTTAATCTTTTTCCTTAATATACCAGTTTCAAGTACCCTATCCGTGTTTCTTCTCACTAATATATCCAGGAATAGCAGTCGATTGTTCTTTTCCAACTAGACTATGAACATGATTTCTTCAGGCTTGCTGTTAAACTGTTTAGAGGCGTTCATTCTTACAAAAACAAAGTGCCACAAGCATAGCACACAAACAAACTCGTGTTGATATTATGTGATAAAGTTCGCCCAGCGTCACCGATTAGGTGATAGATCCTGATAACGGAAATCCTGTTGGTGTTTTATTAATCTGTGAACGATCTGCCCATCGAAGCTGGGAGAATTGCTGATACAAAAGTTCAAAAGTTTGTGATGACTTTCTGCGATCATGTTCCCTATGTTTAGGTTACCCCGAATTAGCTCCATTTCTGCCTTCCCTCCAGTTGAATGGAGAGGACAATACTGTGTACTAGATAAGAGCAGTATCTCATCTTCTCCTATCTTCATGCTTTGAAGCTGCATGAAGAATCGATCGGTGGTTTTCATGAAGGGATCTGACTCAGGAATCAAGTGTTTTGACCTCACAGATCCTTCTCCAGCTTGTAGAATAGAGTCCCTGAAAGTAAAACAGTGGATCTTAACAAAATTTCTTCATCATGTAAGGCTTGGTTTCCATGTGCTTATCGGACAACTGTAGTGGGATAGATAGATAGATAGATAGATAGATAGATAGATAGATAGATAGATAGATAGATAGATAGATAGATAGATAGATAGATAGATAGATAGATAGATAGATAGATAGATAGATAGATAGATAGATAGATAGATAGATAGAGAGACAGGTGATTGCTGGCCTGTTCGCTGTGCTGGGCAATTAGATTGCAAACGTTTCATCACCGATCGAGGTGACATCATGAGTGCTCCCTAACAACGCACTATAGGAAATGTGACTCATTCCCACTTCGTAGTGAACTAGTTGTCAGTAGTCAGGGGCCTCCAAAGAAGGGACACTAATCGAAATATTTTGTAGTGGGTTCGCTGCCAACATCCTTTCAAACCTTGTGAAACCTCAACACTCTCGACTTCTGTAGAGCTGAGGCGTATCACCTCCAGAATAAATATCATGATCAGTAGAACTAGGCGAACTGAATCTGGATGCAGCGGATGCTACTGGTGTTTACAAATTTCTCATTCACTTCGATATTATTTCTCACCAGAAAATTAGCTAAATACTTGCCAAATGTATGAGTAGTGGGATCGATAAACGCTGCTAAGGTTGTGCTTGAAGCAACATGCTGATGCAGAAAAGTTGGTTGCTCAAAAATTAGAATTTACACGCCATCACTCACAGCTTTATTGACTGAAAGACAAAATTTCTGAGTAAAAACGTACCAGTCATGGCGGTTCTTTCTCTATATATGTGATAAGACCAAACGTCTGTCACGGCAATTGGAGATGGTCAACTCGAAATAAACTAGGACTTTCCAGGTGAGAAACCTCATTTTTCGAGAAAGCACGCAACCGACTTTTAAGGCCTTCATTCTGATGAGACGTTCAGGAAATTCCAGCATCTAGGCATTCAGTTGAAAATACTGGTTCATATTATTGTTGGACTTGTATTTCCTCTACTTTATCTTATGATGGATTACATCCAGGAAGCATTATGCTTTCTCCGCTCCATGAAATGCTTCAGGAGGATGTGTTTCAGTTGACTTCCCACGTAAACACCAAGGTATAAAACTTGGTGATTCCATATAATTATCGCTGTAGGTGATTCTGACGTGATTCAGTAGAAACAGGGAATATTTCGGAGTCAAAACTGGTATCCTGGTGTAAAAAATTAAAGAAAAACACGTTCGGGAAGGAGAAAGTTAGGTAGATTTTGAAACCATTGAATTCGTTAAACATGGTCCTTGAATGGCTGAGGCTTTCGTTTTTTACGAGTACTGTTGACCAGTTTCCTACACATTCAAGACTGTTTTAGGGGCATCCAGCGATTCCTCAACATCCGGTTGGTGCCAATTCAGGACTGAATATCATATTGCTGACGAATAACGAAAAGCAAAAACGCCGTAAAGTCCGTTGTTGCGTCACTGGTTCTTATTGTACCAATTTCAGTCCACTAGTATTGAGTGATGATCGGGCAGTTCTAACCAAGGCGGATACTTTTTCCTTTTCAATAGACTTCGTTCTGTCAGTAAAGCCAACCGATGCCGAAAAGCTAAGAAGACCTGTGCAACTGTTTTATCCTCATTGGGAATCAACGACAGTGCACACCTCCCGAACCTAAGAGGGTTTCAAACCCGTGGCCATTGTCGAACACTTGGCCATTTGGCATGATCAGCACTGTGATTAGCTCTCACCGTTACAGGACCCCCGTGGCCTTCCGGCCATTGTCGAACACTTGCCATTTGGCATGATCAGCACTGTGATTAGCTCTCACCGTTACAGGACCTAGCGCTATTCATTCTTCAATCAATGAAAACAAACCACGTGGCTACCGACTGATTGGCTCCTGGACGACTTCTTGGAGGGGTGTTTCATTCACCTTGTGAATTTATTCTTCCTCTAAGTTGATAGATACTTCATTCTTTTGTCCACGTTTTCCCTGAAATGGCTGCTATAGTAAATATTTATTTTTTGCGTCTCCTCTTGAAGAATATTTAGTCCCTTTGAAACCAACTGAATACTGACTATTGACTGACTATTTGGTACCGAAATTTGATACAAGTGTACGCAAACACGCACACAACCTAAATGTATCCTCGAAATTGTTCAATCTCCACAATAGGTGATCTTATCAGTCTGCTTCCAGTATGTCCTTGCATATGACCTGTTTTCAATGAACTCAATGCTTTATAATTCAGATATGATTACTGGAAGCCGTTTCCTGGATGCTTTTTTCTGCGCAAGTGGACCAAACGTTTTCTTCTCCCAAAAGGATCCGCCACCCCGTTTCGTGTAAACGTACACTTTCAAGCCATATTCCGTCACACCGTTCGAATATACTATGAATTTTAATGCTGTCAATTTTTCGTGGTGTAACAAAATGTTTTGTCGTAACTCGTTGGACAGAGAATGAGGAACTTTTAAAAGCTCTAAGACCTATATAACTAACTTGTCGCAACATATGTCTGAATATTGAAGACAAACTTGTTCCTCTCTAGAGAAATCACCTGATGGAAACGATCGAAATGGTCTTACGTGAGAAAGGGCACAACAGCATCTGTCTACTGACAACGGAAACTCTGAGACTGCGCCTGGCTGATGAGCCCCAAGAAGAGCGAAACCGGTCGTGGGCTGTCGAAGAGTTTTCAGCAACCTCGTGAGTAATTTACTTTATGAAAACAAGAGAAACTGTTTTTTTCGTGGAAATAGTGGGTTCTCAGGCACATGTTTGTGTTACATACACAACTGAGCATTGCCAGCCAAACCTGACTCGTCTGAACCAATCAGGCGAACGTAAACATTCAGACAGCATCTGAACCAATGATGCATGAAACAAAGAATCCAATTTATTTTATTGTCCCAGCACACTACTCACAAGGTTGCTGAAAACGTACGNAAGTATAGGCGAGATTACGCTGCACCGTCCTGTCACTTGCGTGCAGGACAAAGTATCCAGCAGGAATGCGTAATATCCTGCTCAGTACAGTCATCAGAACATGTCATGAGAGATCCAAGGAAGCAAAAAATGGGTGCCTGTCAGACACAGATGATGAAGTTTTGATCTCTTCTGAGCTCTATTCCGATTACGTGTTTCTTGGCAAGGTGGTCCCTCAAGGCTGCCCCGAACTGCTGGTCAAAAGCGACTGTATCTTAGATCTGTACTGCCAGCAAAAGAGTTGTGTGATTAACCCAGACCACTGATCCAAAGGGGGAAACAGATGTATTAAATGTTTACACGTAGTAATCCGAATACATTCGTCTTTGATATTACCAGATTTGAATTTTGAGCGGATCTGTTTCTTCCACTTTGTGGGTGGTCAGTCATGCCCCCAGTGGAAGTTTCCAGATACGAACACTTGAAAACAACCCTGTATTTTGGTTGATTTTCAACCAACTAGCTCCGAGGTTTTCTATGGAACCACATCGGGCAAACACAATTACATTGCCTATTTGACTGAGGTAAGGTGGTACTACAACCTTCCGTGTTCTGTCCATATTGGATTGATCGGCCGCACAACACCTAAGAATGATTACGAAAGCCTTGACAAAACTACGCAAAAACAAACAGTTTTAAGCTTTCCAGGTCTGTTTGGCCGTGCCACTTGAGTGACTGTACCAAAACCCAATGGGGAGAAAAAGCATGCAGTTTGATTTTCGTATCTTTTTGGGAGCATTTCACAGGAATACTTTGGGAAATTGGGAGTTTGCAAGAAATCCAAACAGAAGCACTCCGAACTCTAAACTTCCAAATGATTCACCTGTGGTTAACAGGATATTACAGTTCACAAACAATTCTTCAGAGAATGTCTTATTTCGTGACACACGGCTTTATGATTGGGCAGCATAACAGCAGTAGAAGTTCTGCCATACAGTTCGAATTCTTCCGTCAGCATCTCAAAAGATCGCAAGGTAGCGTTTTGCTGATGCGAGCAGCGAGGTTCGCAATTAGTGTCTGGATAGAGAAAATCGGTGTATTTTAGTAGGGTGTATTCATTCGTGGAAATGAATAGCACGGCTTCATAAATACCACGAATTTCAGTTCACTCTCTAGAATGGAATAAGGGGTGATGCATTTTAGAAGTAGGCGAATTACACCACTTTCACCTACACTCCACAGCTTTGCGTCGGAATACGATAAAAATGTTTTCCTCAATACCTAATAACTGAGTAACTGGGCTTGAACTTTGGGCATAATGGCACCAAGTTACAACACAACTGTTGAGTCTGAATTTAAAGCTGTCAAAGTTGTTAGTGGCCAACTGACCAATGAGTAAGATCTTTTTCCAATCATTTACATCATCCCCCCAGTTATTAGGTCTAAACCTTGTAGGTCTAACCCTGTGTGTGACGGCAGGTTGTACTTGGCATTTCAACTTTGACACGCCGGAAATGTATTTCTAGCTTACAGTCCTCTGAGCACATCAAAGTGGTTACACCGCACTCGAACGTTCTTCTTGTCTTGTGCTCTACTTACAATTCAAGCTAGTGCTGCTGACTCAAGAATTTCAAGATGTGTCGACCTACACTGCTGAGCGTGAGAGTCCCTTTCGGTGGTCCCCTGAGTACTGATATGAGGTAATCTCAGACATTCACGGACTCTGAAAAGCTCGGATACCCAGTTAATTCGGTTGGTCTTGCATGATCTAAGTAACTAACGAACATTTTATTATAATTTATTTTTGAAGAGCATGGTCACAGGCATAAAAAGTGAATGCAAGCGACGAGTGCAAAAGGGAAACAGGAGAATATGAGAGAAAAGAGATAAACGTCTGATTCGAATTCATGCCACCAACAGTTCCAGTCAGATGAGATGAAACCCAACGTATGTAAAAAAAATTTGATGTGGGAACACGCGTCTAAAGACCCACAACCGAAGAAAGGACAAACAATGTTGAATGCTCTCCAAGACGCGGTAGGCGCTAGCACGGTCAAGAACATCAGGCACCTTGTCTTCCCTACTGCGTTTTACGCTACCACTCGTTTAATATAACGCGTATAGCCAGAGAACTGTGTTCTAATCTGCTGTACCCAGCCACTTTTAACAAATTTTGTTTGTAAGAGGAAATAGAACCCGTCTTTGCTCATGGTTAACCGAGACAATTAGATAGAACTGTTCCAAAACAGAGAGATTTGGGATAGCATTTCCTTTAGACACGAGTTATCCGACAGTATTTTGTTTCATTGCACTCTACATGAGGCACCTTGTCTTCCCTACTGCGTTTTACGCTACCACTCGTTTAATATAACGCGTATAGCCAGAGAACTGTGTTCTAATCTGCTGTACCCAGCCACTTTTAACAAATTTTGTTTGTAAGAGGAAATAGAACCCGTCTTTGCTCATGGTTAACCGAGACAATTAGATAGAACTGTTCCAAAACAGAGAGATTTGGGATAGCATTTCCTTTAGACACGAGTTATCCGACAGTATTTTGTTTCATTGCACTCTCCTTCGCCTAGAACCCCCTATTCAGAATCTGACTGGTTTATCACGCATTTTAGTATGACATCATTCAGGCGTTTCTTGTTGTACTTTATCTGGAGTTTCCTGAAGCCGGACAGCTTGCAACAGACATAACTGTTACAATGTCCGATTAATTAGCCTGTGGTAGCATTTTAGAACGCATTCATAATACAATGGTAGAAAACTGACCCGAACTATGTCAAATATTCTCATCCGCACATTAATTTCGTCTTGACAGAAAACTCAGATGCATCCAGTTGGATCTATCGTTTTCTTCAACCACATTAGTGGTGTGTTACGTGCAGGTGGCGTACTGCGATACGTTGAATATTATACTAACTGAACAAATCCCCTTACCTCGGATCCCCACAAAAAGCTTTCCACTGAGGCACTCGATATCCGTCGAACGGACTAAACTCTACACATTGCACGATTAGACAATTTTCTAGTCAGGGACGCCTGGTTGACGGGTATTCCTTCATAGGAGAATTTAGATGCTAAAAGGAACAGCAGGTTGGCAAATGGATGTTAAAATGGCACGTTTGCATCAGCAAGATGTCACAGTGAACATGGACGTGCGAGACGGAAAATACAAACAAATGTGTTATAAAATGTTTCGCCAGAAGCCATCTTGCTGTCTGTATTGAACAGTTTATGCTGAAAGTAAGCTTCTCAATTCAAACATCCAGTATGCTTGAGCCACAAAACCATTATTACTTCCGGAAATCAGTTAGGTTCACACATGTCCCCTCATCCATAGAAGCAAATTTTCGAGTATCAGTCCCACCCTTTAGATCACCTCAAGAGCGATCGTTTTTTTAATTCTGTAAATAATGGATAAGGCTGCTGTTGAGCCAGCAAGGGTGTTATTTCATCTAAATCATGTAACAAGACTTCAACGTTAAAACACAAGGAGGCATTTCTTTTGGGGATTACTTCTTTCGGATCAATGATGAATAGCACAGTCAGAAACCGAAGAAGTCCATGACCAGAACCTATGTAAAGATCGAAAAGAAACAAGTGAAGTCAAGAGTTCATTTTTTAAGTACTTGAACTTGAGGATCACCTTACCGGAGTGTAAAAACGGTCTTATGCCATTTATCAGTCATTTCAGAGTCAGACAATTTTTGAGGTTTGTAATTATTCCCGGTTGAAGAAACCCGGTTCATTGCTTTTACAGTTTATGGCAAGATACTGGTTTCCTGTTTCGCATAGTTAGTTTCCTAAAAATTGTCGAAACGACCTGATACTGAAGTGGATTATCGTTTTCGAAAAAGTTTGGTGACAATCGGTAGANATCTTGATAATGGTCAATACTTATTAAGAAACTAGTCTTTGATTATGCTTCCCAACGCGCTGTCAGTAATGAATCAAAAAAGGACAACCAACGTTCAATCTCGTTCCGATCAGGAGTCCTTTTGTTTCAGGGTTGTGTTAAGTTTTATGCCTTTCAGTAGCAACCTAATCAAGCGCCTTGCGCAATAATTTGACCGGACCCAGGCACTGCGACACAAGTTTGGTATCCGCCTTTATTATCAATCAAGTGACCACTAAGTTAAGTGCGACCATCTATTGTTGTCAGTTCGTCCAAGTATCGAACTCCAAGTCAGAAGAATCCGGAGCACATTCGATATCATGATTTCGCAAGTTCACTCCAAAGACATATCTATTCTGCTAGGTCGGTTTAACACAGCAGTCCACCCCCAGAAGGTTACTCCCGCACCTTCTGCTTGAAACACCGAAAACATTCATACCTCCATAGTTTTCATTCTTTAAAGGCATCCACTCCCTGGTATTCCCTACAACGCATATTTCAAGCTTGTATTTCCGGAATT